AAAATTCAGATTTAACCGAGCATCCCGCATGTTCTCTGGCAACCTTTCCCAAAGACAGAGCATTTGGATGCTGTCCACTAAAAAAGACAGAAATCTTCAAGAGGCCACCACGCTTCACAGAGCCCAGTCTCCTCCCTAAAAAGAAGACCAAAAGGTCCCACCCTCTCCCCTCCTGACCCCAGGGCCCTCCCACGACACCCCCTCTCTCCACTCCCACTTCAGTCCACCCTCTCCTGACCTTTATACCCACTTGGAGAAATTCCACTGACACAAGGAATACTCAGAGGGTTAATCCTTCTGATACCAAGTCACACTTTAACTCATTCCCTCCAGGCCAAGGACTTAAAACTGCCCATGTACCAGTCAGGGCTACAGCAGGCCCTGAAAACTGAGCCGTCCCGACGCCCAAAGTAAGGAGAAGCTACAAGAGAAAGGGAGGGAAAGAAGGAGGGGCAGCCGGCCAGGCTGCTGTCCCCCCACAGAGCCAGCTCAGATTCCTCTCTAGGAGCAATTCAAATACAGAGCCAACGGCAGCCCCGCTCCTCCAGCGAAGGACGGCAGGCAGACAGACAGACAGAGGTGCTGGAACTGGAAGTCCTCAGCCCCCAGCCGCTAAGCCGGTCCTGGCTCCATGGCCTTCAATGACCTCCTGATGCAGGTGGGGGGCGTCGGCCGCTTCCAGCAGATCCAGGTCGCCCTGGTGCTCCTGCCCGTCCTCCTGATGGCCTCCCACAACACACTGCAGAACTTCACCGCTGCCATCCCCACCCACCACTGCCGCCCACCTGCCAACACCAACCTCAGCAAGGACAAGGGTCTGGAGGCCTGGCTGCCCCGGAGCAGGTCAGGGCAGCTCGAGTCCTGCCTCCGCTTCACCTCCCCCCAGTGGGGACCGCCCTTTCCTAATGGCACAGAGGCCAACAGCACGGCGACCACAGAGCCCTGCACCGATGGCTGGATCTACGACAACAGTACCTTCCCTTCCACCATTGTGACTGAGGTGAGGACCTGGGGCTCCCCGTCTCTGTGCCTTCCCCTCTGAGACACACACACACTGTCTCAAATTCTCCAGGGGCCAAGATGGGAAGATGGAGAAAGGGATTCAAGACGGGGGTCTTTGTAAAAAAGGTGGATGTGAGAGCTGCTGGGCTAAAAAAAAAAAAAAATGCTCACAGCTGCAGGGACCAGGAAGACAAACAGCAAGGAAAGTGTCAGGGGAAGAGGGTGACATGGATCCCAGAGGTCCACCCCAAAAGAGGGTAAGGGGCTTCCCTGTAGCCAGGCTCATCTCTGCCTGACCCTTGTCCCCTCTTCCCACAGTGGGACCTTGTGTGCTCCCAGAGGGCCTTACGCCAGCTGGCCCAGTCCTTGTACATGGCAGGGGTGCTGCTCGGAGCCATGCTGTTCGGCTACCTGGCAGACAGGTCAGTCTTGGGTAGGGCCAAGGGGCTAGGCTGGCATTGGGGGCTCCTCAGCTGGGCTCAGGGGGCCTACATGGGAGGTTGGCATTCCCAGCTGGAGCTGGTTTGAGGACTTACAGCACCAGCCTCCTGGCTCTTCACAGATCCTCAAAACACCCCCAGCCCAGGGCTCCCCCCCAGGACACACACTCCTCTCCCAGCCCAGCCTGGCCTTTCCCAGCGAGCACGGGCCCCCGTCAGTCCTCAGGCCCCTGCTGCGGGTCTTTCCTCCCCCACAGGCTGGGCCGCCGGAAGGTACTGATCTTGAACTACCTGCAGACAGCTGTGTCAGGAACCTGCGCAGCCTTTGCACCCAACTTCTCCACCTACTGTGTCTTCCGGATGCTCTCGGGCATGTCTATGGCTAGCATCTCCCTCAACTGCATGACGCTGAGTAAGAAATGTTCACCCACCTGCTCCCCTCTGACTACCCCACCCAGCAGCCCCTTCCCAGCCTCCTCTGCCATCCTACCCTCCCTGAGCCCTGCCTACAGCCTCTCCCTTGGGTCTGCCCTTCCAGCCAATACAATAACCTTTTTCTCAGGCTCATGCCATCCCCACCCCTCATCTAGAAATGAAATTGCAAACTCCATTGAAGCAGGCCAGGTACAAGAGGCATTAGGGAGTGGTGAGGACTGTATCCAAAGAAGAAACTCACGCCATCCAGAGACACCACAGACACTCAGCTGCTCCAGCCAAGAGCCAGCTGCTCCAGCCAGACAGCCCAGGGCTGTCAGATCTTCCCCCCTCCTTTCTGATTAAAGTAAAACATCTCAGTTTTTTAATGTTTGCAATTAACTGTGATATTTCTAAACACAGGGCAAGCCAGCACCCTGCAGACCAAACACATTTATAAACTGAGTATGATCTATCCATGGGCCATCAATATGCATTCTCTGATATACCACCTCCCCTCCCTCCTGTTTCTCAGATGAGGGACCTGAAGCTGGGGAGAAGGGAAAGGATTTGCCCAAGGTCACCCCTCAAATCCAGAATGGAATCCAAGGATTTGAGATTCTCTGGACTAAATGAATTACCTGGGACTGGGCTTGGGTCAGGGCAGGACACCCAAGAAATCCAGCCCCAGTCCAGTCTAAATACCCAAGTCCCTGCCCCATCAGCCAAATTAGGAGCCCACCAGGAACCAAGCTGGGCCTCTTCAGACCACAGCAGAGAGGCAGCCCCACTCCCACCTCAATACTCCAGGGTGGAGAAAAGCCACTACCTCCTCCAAGGTGCTCCAGCCCTTGAGGGCAGAATATGGCCCAGGGCTGAGGAGGACCAGAGGATTAGCTTCTGTTGAGGATAGACTGAGTGGTCAAAGATGCTCTGAAGGGAAAGGGGATCCAGACAGGATAGTAGGTTGGAGAAGAGCAAAGCAACAGCAGGAGTGGTAAGGGGGCAGTTCCTGGGGATTCTGAACCCACCTCCCCATCCTTACCCCCACCAAAAGTTCCCCACTCCCCCTGCCCTGGCATCCAACCTCACTTGATGCATCTTCCCCAGAGCCTTGGGACAGACCAAGCTTCCAAGGGAGGGAGTCTTTACCTGCCCAGAGCCCAGTTAGGTGCACCACCCTGTTCTAACCCTCTTTCCAGATATGGAGTGGATGCCCATCCACACGCGGGCCCATGTGGGCACCTTGAATGGCTATGTCTACAGCATGGGCCAGTTCCTCCTGGCCGGTGTGGCCTATGCTGTGCCCCACTGGCGCCACCTGCAGCTGCTGGTCTCTGTGCCTTTTTTCGCCTTCTTCATCTACTCCTGGTGCGTGGGGCCCAGGGTGGGGGGTGGTGTCACAGGAGCCCAGAGGGCTGCAAGGAAGAGAACATCCCTCAGAGTTCAGCATACACCCCACGCCACAGAATCAGAGCTTAAAGCCAGGTCACACCCAGTCCAATGCCTCAGTGTAACAGATGAGGAAACCGAGGCTGTGGGGAGAAGGCTTTGCCCCAGGGTACCCAGTTCTCTGGCTCCCCAAATTCTCCAGCCTGTCTGCACTGTTCTTCCCACCCAGCACCCAAGAGCTGAGCTTCCAGGTTGGGAAATAGGTCATCACCAAGCTGGGCTCTGCCATGTGGTCCTAGAGAGAGGGATGTGGCAAGGCCTCTTGGTTCCCAACCTTAAGTAAAATCCTACTGCAGACCCCTGGAAAGCCCAGCCCCCACCCCCAGACCAGCTGACTAGAACTGAGGTCCTGCAAACACCCACCCTCCACACCCGCCTCCAGGTTCTTCATAGAGTCAGCCCGCTGGTACTCCTCCTCTGGAAGGCTGGACCTCACCCTGAGGGCCCTGCAGAGGGTGGCACGGATCAATGGGAAGCACGAAGAGGGGGACAAGCTGAGTATGGAGGTGAGACCCCCTTGAGACACTGTGACACTCCACCAGGGCTCCACCCTCAATCCCCAAACCCAGGACCCAGGGGGCTTCTCTGAGTGAAGGGGCTAGGCTAGGAGGAGCTCAGGCCCTGAGCTTTGCCCGTCCCACCAGGTGCTCCGGGCCAGTCTGCAGAAGGAGGTGACCACAGGCAAAGGTCAGGCCTCGGCCATGGAGCTGCTGCGCTGCCCACCCCTTCGCCACCTCTTCCTCTGCCTCTCCATTGTATGGTAAGCCCAGAGAGACAAACTGACAGATAAGCAAACAGACGGACCAAGAGACAAATGGCTGGTTGGGGAGGGAGTGTGTGCCATGGGTGGAAGAGAACAGACGAGAGGGAGGAAAAGTCAGCAGACAGCTGTGAGGAGCAATAATCCCACAGCAGAGAGACTCCTGAAGAACCAAACACCCTCCAGCCTTGACTCAGTTCCAGTCCCCAAACTGGACATCAATCTCCCCACATTCTCCTTTCGCCAACTCTTTCCAATATGAAAATACCTCATCAGAACCAATGGCCTCCAGAGTCAATAGAATTACATTGGGAAGGAAGGGACCAGTCTGGCTTGCAAACCACCTGGAGACTTTGCTGGCCTGGTGGTGCCTGCCAGAAACACAGGCACCAGCAATGAGACAACTAAAACTCACCTCTGAAAGTACACTTTCGGGAAGCCGATATAAGCTGAAAATCTTCCCTTCCCTTTGCAACATTCCCACCACCATAGCAATCCCATGACAGTTAAGAGAAGCATGGTCAAAAGCAACGATCCTGTCAAAGAATTCTTTGCTTCCAATTTGGGATTTACTTTCAGTTGTGGGTTCTCTCCAGTAACCTGAACTTCCTTTTGTGGGCTCTTGACACCTTAAGAAGTACAACACTCATCTCAGGACCACGGACAGGTCCCAGAAGGCTCTGGCCTTTCCCAACACATTGACCCTAAAGACATGGCTTAGATATCCACCTGCCCTCCCTCAGCCTAGCATCAACAGATAAGACAAACACTAAACCTATGTAAATCCTACATAGCAACCAAGTGAAAATTCCCCAACACGCTGGGGACCCCAGTTATCAGAAGACTGGGAAATTTGGAGTATTAGAGGACTACCCCCCAATACTTGTATTGGGCAGTTTAAACATGCAGTTCAGTATCTAAAGAAATATTGGCCAGGGTGTATTCCAGCTGTGTAAGCAGGGTTCCCAGTGCAGCTCACCCCTGTTTGGAAAGAGCATCTCCCTTCAAGCCTCCCTAACCAACTCCATACCCCTCCCCCCTCCCCACTAGGTTTGCCACTAGCTTTGCCTACTATGGACTGGTCATGGATCTACAGGGCTTTGGGGTCAGCATCTACCTAATCCAGGTGATCTTTGGTGCCGTGGACCTACCTTCCAAGTTTGTGTGCTTCTTTGTCCTCAACTTTCTGGGTCGCCGGACCGCCCAGATGGCCTCACTGCTGCTGGCGGGCATCTGCATCCTGGTCAATGGAGTGATACCCCGGGGTGAGCACAGCCCTTGGCCCCTCACCCTCAGACCCATCCCCCAGACCTAACCCAACTTCTCAGAAGGGAGGGGGCCAATTCCTCCAACCCCCACTTCCAAGATCCAGCTGTCCCCCTCTTTTCTCTCTAGACCAGATCATTGTCCGAACCTCCCTTGCTGTGCTGGGGAAAGGCTGCCTGGCTTCCTCTTTCAACTGCATCTTCCTGTACACTGGGGAGCTGTACCCCACAGTGATCCGGTGAGTGGAAGCCTATTGGGGGGGGGATATTTTTACATTAAGAAACAAGAAACATGTCTATTTTAAGAATGGAATGCAAAATTCCCATGAGATATCAAAGAAAGACAGCTTCCCTAGGTTACATGGAATAAGAACCCCAAGGGGTCATGGTTACTGTCCTGTGCCCTTAGGGGATTTCAGAGGAAAGAACAGTAGTGTAAGGCATTCACTGTGCACCAGGCACGGTCTTAAACCTTTTGCAAATATTAAATTTAATATTTAGTATTGGTAAAATGTTAAGTTTAATCCTCATTTATTCTCATAACAAGGCAATGAGGTAGCTACTATCATTATTCTTATTTTGCAAATGTGAAAACTGAGGCACAGAGAGGTTTATGATTTCTCCAAGATCACACAGCTAGTGGTTAAGCTTGCACTCGAACCCCAAGCATTTTGTCTCTTGAGTCAATGTTTTTAATCTCTTCTCTCACAGAAAATGTTCTTAACGTGTTCTTAACATGCAGATTCCAGGTCTCTTCTCCCGGAGACTGTAACCCCATAGGTCTGTGTAGGGCTGTGACTCAAAAATCCTCCGGATGACCTGAGAACCATTGGTCTAACCCAACTTCCTCATTTGACAGCTAAGGAAAGTGAGGCTTAGAGAGGAAAAGGGACTTATGCAAGGTCACACAGCAAGTCAAGGACAGAGGCAAAATTCAATCTCAGTCCTGATTCTCTAGCAAGAGCCCTTCTCAATTTCCCTTTTTTAAAAATCACTGAAACAAATCCAGATTGTTTTGCTAATCAAATGGGGAACACGGGAGGCACCAGGGGGTGTCCTGGGGCTGGGCCTGAGCTTCCCTACTCCAAATGTAGCCAGAACCTCAGCATTCCTGCCAGAACTCTAACCAACACCCACCCCGTGGGCCCCACAGGCAGACAGGCATGGGGATGGGAAGCACCATGGCCCGAGTGGGCAGCATCGTGAGCCCACTGGTGAGCATGACCGCCGAGCTCTACCCCTCCATGCCCCTCTTTATCTATGGCGCTGTCCCCGTGGTGGCCAGCGCTGTCACTGCCCTCCTGCCAGAGACCCTGGGCCAGCCACTGCCGGACACAGTGCAGGACCTGGAGAGCAGGTAGGCTCCCACACAGAGAGCAGCAGGGACTCATCCCAGGTCACACACTCAGGCTGGGGTGGCACCGAGACTCAAACCCAGGCCTCCTGTTCCAGACCAAAGCTCTTCATTCCTTTGTCCACAATTGGCTGAGATTCTCCTAAAATCTTTCCTGGGGCTCCCAGCTCTGGGGAGCATTAGATGTTTGAGGCAGAGAGCAGGTGACTGGGTACAGCTGAGTGGAGAGCCCCCTGGAAGCCCCCAACTCCCAAGCCCAGCTGGAAGCTGCATACCCAGAGTCCTGCTCTCCTGCCCACCCCTACCCCCAGGAGGAAAGGGAAACCGAGTCAACAGCAGCAGGAGCAGCAGAAGCAGATGGTTCCACTGCAGACCTCAGCACAAGAGAAGAATGGACTCTGAGAACTGAGAAAGGGCCTTACAGAGCCCCGAAGGGAGTGAGGATCCTACAAGTCCTGGGCCACCCATACAAGGAGGGGGAAGGGGGAGTGGCGGCCGAAGTGCGAGGCCATGGTTCAGGGAAGCACCTCCCCAGGGCTCCCCCTCCATAAATAGACGCCACCAAGACCACATCATTAAAAGTTCTGACTGTGTGCAGCACCTCTGCTTGTCTCTCGTCTCAAATGGAAAGGCCACTTCACATCAGCCAGCTGCCAGCCCAAGAGATCATACAATCCCATCCCCTACTCCCACTCCAAGGGCTTTATGAAGGATCCTGGACAACTAGAAAAGATTCTCTTACATCAGACCCTCTCCGTCCATCCTTCCCTCCCTCCTCCTCTAACTTATTCAAATGTTTCCCTGAGTTTTAGCTAAATACCTTACACCCCTCCCCTTGCTTGTTGGGGCCAGAAATTGATAAGAGACTGAAATGAAAGCAGCCAATCAGAGGCTTTGTTTCAGGCTCTTCCCCCTCTGTGAGAGCAGGTGGGAACTTCGGCAGCAAAAGAGGAGAAAAAAATGACTACAGCTGTGACATCAGGATGTTGGCCCTTCTAGCAGCATGGTCAGGATGCTGGAATCCTCTAAATTTGAGCTGGAAGTTCTGCCAGCTAGCTAGCCTGATCCTTCCTGCTGCACGTCCTGAGCTCTCTGCTGCTCTGCCTCCCGTGGGGCCTGGGCTGGTGGAGGGGAGAGGGGAGGGAAAGGAAGGGGTGTGGGCCTGGGAGAGTCAGTACTGAGTGCTAATCGTGTGCCAGGCACGGCCCTAAGCAATTTACATAAATTAACTCATTTAATCCTCCCAATACCTCTGGAGGTAGGTACTTTTATTATTCCCCATTTTACAGTTAAGGAAATCAAGGAACAGAGAGGTTAAGTAACTTGTCCAATTCACACAGCTAGTAAATTGTGGAGTCAGGATTAGAATCCAGACAATCTAGCACTAGAACATGTGTGCCTGACCCCTCTTGGCCTGGGGTTGTGAGGCACTGAGACTTTAGCCTCTTCCACCCTCAGCACCCAGCTTCTCCTTCCTCCTGGGTAGAAAAGAAAAGGAAAAGCAGAAAGGGAAGTGGGGGGGGGACCATGAGAAGAACCATGTGACAGGAGCAGTGGAAGGCAATTTAGGAGTTACAGTCAGGAAAAGGCCAGGATGTCCAGCACCTGTGTCAGCAAGGGAGCTCACCTCAGGAAAGCCTGGGGTGGCACGGGAAAAGGCAGCCCTATTAGCACCTGCAGGGGCAGGAGTGGGGCCTGCTGTGCCCTGCCGTAAATGTGCTCACTCAGCATGTTTGTCTGCCAGCACATTGCCTGTACCCCTTTCTCCTGCAGCCGACCTGGCCCCCGACCCCTCATCCCCCAGGGAAAGTCTACGTCCTTCATGCTGTACATACTGCCTTCCGGGTGGGACCGTGGGGCTCAGGTTGAGTGAGGGCAATCTGGAGAGGGGATGTGGCCTGGAGATTCCCTGAAAAGGCCACACGGCCCTGGTAGAGCTCATGGCCGCTCAGACAGCAGGATTCTCAGGACAAATCTGGGCAGAGCTGAAATCGCCATAACCCGCCCCACTTCCTGGAACATCTGGAGCCTTGGTATCCCCCATGGTGCTAACACTCCCATGCTCCCTGAGAATTTCTTGGCCCTGGGGACCCACTAGATACCAGCAGCCCTACCCCTGCTGCGATTTCTCAGGCAACACTGCCCTCATGGCTGACCCTCAAGGGACACCTGGAATGGCATCTTACCAGCCCTGAGCAGGGAAACAGGGCTGAGACCGGGGGGGCAGGGAGCATGGGACAAATGCACTAGCCCTGCTTTTGCAGATCTGGGGGTCTTGAGACCAGCACCTTGCCCTCCCCCTGCCTCAAAACCCCTCCAGCAAGCTCTGACTCCTTCTGTGGGTCTCTCATCTCTGTGGTCAGATCACCTGGTATCTGCATCTGCCCAACAAGGCTACCCAGAGCCAGCCCCATGGGTCCAGGTTGTGGGTGCTGCCTCAGACAGCTCAGACCATCTGCACAGAACCCATTCCCTCCTGGCCTGGGACTTCCTACACTCATGCTGTGCCTTTGACCACATGGAATCATACTTCCTCCCGCTCCTAGGTCACCAGTAGGTGCTTCTGACCCTGCCCTCCCAAGGAGTCAGCCCCAGAACACTGGCTCAGATCCCATCCTCAAGCCTTGGTCCTGAGCCCGAGTTCTGATACCACCGTGCCCCACCCCCAATGGCCTCAGATGCTATCCCCAGTTTTTACCACAAGGTCCCACCCTCAGCCAGGATGGCACACTCAGAATGATCCTCAATTGCTCGGCCCTGGTAGAATGTTCACCAGAAGCCACCTCTCAGGGCTCTAATTTGTCATCCCAGGTCCCACCACTACAACCCAGGCTTCAGTCCACACCAAGCCCTCCTTTAGGCTCTTCTCTCCCCCTTCCCAGTAGTTTGCACGACCCCTTAGAGAGCAGACGATCAGTTAAGCTTTCACATCATGTGGTACATTGAATAATGCCCCCCCCACACACACACCACATATGTCCCTAGAACCTGTGGATATGTTACCTTACGTGGTAAAAGGGATTTTGCAGATAGGATTAAATTAAGGATTCTGAGATGGGAAAATGATTCTGGATTTTCTGGGTGGGGCTGATGTGATCACAACAGTTCCCATAAGCAAGAGGAGGGAGGTCAGAGTGAGGAATAGGAGCTGTGGCAACGAAGAGAGAGGTTAGAGGGACACAAAAGAGAACCGAAAGACAAACAAACAGAAAAAGAATATGTTTAAGTTAAGGTGGAGACCATAAACCTCAATTAATTGTTACCAAATACAAATAACTTCTGGTCATTCAAACAACTAAATAAACACATTGGGTGTTTTCAAAAAAAAAAGGTGGGAGGTACCACAAGCCAAGGAATGCAAATTGCCTCTAGAAGGTGAAAAGGGCAAGGACATGGATTCTGCCCTGGAGCCTGCAGAAGGAACGCAGCCCTGGGACGTGTTGATTTTAAACTTCTGACCTCCAGAACTATAAGAGAATAAATTTTTAAGTCATTTTTAAGTGCTGTTTTAAGTCAGAGTTTGGGGCAATTTGTTAAAAACAGTAATAGAAAACTGACACGCATCGCTTGTTTTCAGACTCCTCCAGGGAGGCCCACAGAGATTTTTATTTTCTCATGCACTGTATTTTTGGTGGGGATAGGGTTGAAATGTCTAGATCACCATAGGCCTCACCACTCCCTATTGTCTTACATTCTGTCAGATCCACAGCGTTCAGATCAGCCTCTGGTCCTTGCAGGCATTTAAATTTGGGACTCCTAGACTCCTCTCTGCTTCTCCCCAGCCCCCCTTAGTTGTTTAAAAATTGTGGAAGAAAATTTTTTTGTCGTGGGTATAGGGAGCAAAACAAAAACACTGGGCAGGCTCCATTGTTCCATTGTGGCTCCTCTTTCGAGAAAGCCATATATGATGTTCTCTGACACGAGACTGTTTCCATGTGGTTCAGGTTGTAGTCGCAGAACAGTAGCTGACTCCACTGCAAAATGCTGGAGTAAAACACTAGATGAATTTGAGGCTCGGTTTCCCCGGCCAGCTCTAGGGTGATGTGCTGCTGCTTCTCCTAAACCTCTCCCTCAGGAGATGTCCACACCCCAGTAGCAAGCGCAACGTGAGCCACACACACGGAAGAAACCAAGCAGCCTGTAAGTGCCCGAATCGGTTAGGGTTCAGATTTAGGTGGTAGACAACGTTGAGTCTGGATGGGATACCTGGAACTGTGGCAACCATCTCCTAACCCAGAAGGGAAGCCAGAGCCAAGGCCTAAGGCAACACATGAGAATAAAATAATGGAAAGATTAAATTAATCTTGGGTTTGATGATTTAACCCCTCTGATTTATCCAGTCCTGGAGCTACCTACCTCTACTCTAATTATTCAGTGTGACAATTTAAATTTAAGTCCTCCTTATATGTTCGGCCATTGTGAGTTGGTTTTTCTGTGATTTGCAGTCAAAGATAATGTGTATTTTTTTGCAGCTTTATTGAAACATAATAGACAATTAGTTGCTCGTATTTATAGCATACAATTTGATGAGTTTTGACAGATGCATGCATCCGTGAAACCATCACTACAGTCAAGAACATGAACATATCGATCACCAACAAAAGTTTCATTGTGCCCGATCTTTGTGTGGACATAGGCTTTCCATTCCTCTCGGGCCCTGATTATATTACATCAAGGAGAATGGCAAAGTAGTATACAAGGTATATGTTTAACTTTTTAAGAAATTGCCAATTTTCCAAAGTGGTTGGAACATTTTACATTCCCACCAGCAATTCCAGTTGTTCCACATTTTTGTCACCACTTGGAATGATCAAAATTTTTAATTTTAGCCATTCTAGTGAATCCGTACTGGTATCTTATTGTAGTTTTAATTTATATCTCCCTAATGAATAATGATGTTAAGCAACTTTTCACATTTATTTCCATCTAGACCTCTTCTTCGGTAAAATGTCTGTCCAAAAACTTTGCACATTTTTTAATTTGATTATTTGATTTCTTATTATTGAGTTGGAAGCTTTGTTATGTATTCTAGACACGAGTACCTTGGCCATTAGGTGTTTTGCAAATATTTTCTCCAAGTTTATAGCTTGCCTTTTCATTTTTATAACAGTGACTTTTGAATAGCAAAAGTTTTAAAACTTTGAAGTCCAATTTACTAATTTTATAGTTAATGTTTTTTGTGTCTTATTTTTAAAATCCTTGACAAACCCCAAAACACTAAAATTTTCTCCTGTTTTCTTATAGGTGTCTTATAGTTTTAACTTTCACATTTAGATCTATGATCCATTTTGAGTTATTTTTGTAAATGATGCGAGGTAAGCAGATTGTGGTTTATTATGGAGTTTTGTTTGTTTGTTTG